TGCAAATGGTGATTTTAGGAGATAAGGAGTATAGAAAGACAACAAACGACAAATACTTTCGTCTTCCACCGTTACAGTACCAGTGAGGGTATGTAGTCTGGACACATAATGTGTAGAACACAGCAGAAAACTTATAGACGCAATATTCAAGATAGAAAACACTTATTTATTGTACTCGAAATTGACGAATCTCTTGTGACATTCGCATAACCAAGTATTACAGCCAGTTTAATGTGGTAATACCTAAAGATTTTAAACATTATTACTATGGTTTGAAGTCTAAAATCAACCATGTTGTTCGTTATTTGATGGCTTAATCTATTTTACTTGCTCATGTTGAGTGAGAGAGATGTATATGTCGTTGGATGCGTGTTTTATCTAAAAGAGTCAAAGTACATTAGCCAGCTTAGCTACAAAATGGTAACAGGGGATTAATAAGGAGTGCTATAAATGAACATACATTCAGCACTGGTCGTCACTCATTATGTAAGGAGAATTCATTTATAAAGTCATCTACAAAGTCAAAAGAAGTCTCCTAAAAACGGTAGGTAAGCTTCCGTACACTTTGCATTGCCGATGCCTAAGCGATCTGGATGGGACACCCTGATTTATATGCGTGGAAAAAACTCCTCCACCACATCCTTCTACCTTGAGTATAATTCCAAGTCCTACGTCTTTGGGTCATAGGAGTTATTAAGAAGACAATTGCAGCGAAGAAAATTTTCTTTCCGATGAAGTCAGCATCATCTAGGCTGTACATTCGTGTATTTATATCAAATACCATCTGAAAAGAAACGCCAACAACTCTCTGAAAAGGTCCATATACAAAAAGCCTACATGGAATGGACAATTCATCAACTTTCAAAGCTTCGTGCCCCTAAGCAGGAAGAGGAACCTGATATACATTCTTTCCTCGAAGATTCGGAAGATATGCGGCGAGGAAGTGGTTCAAGAAGAACTGCGTAATCTTCGAAAAACCTAATGGAAGATGGTTTCCCGCCCAGGTTCATAGACAAGAATCTCAAATCTAAGAAGACTTCCGAACAAGTCCAATCCGTTCCAAAGAAAATACTTCTGCTTAATCTAGAATTCAAAGGTGATATTGAAGCAGAAATCTTTCGCATACGCCTCTTCAAATCGCCGAGGAAAACATACTTCGCCGCGAGCCTACGACTGACTTTTTTAGATAAGAAACTGTTCAGCCGGAACGCGAAAAACAAGCTGGCGCATTGGGCCACCTCAACGTGCATATACCAGTTTACTTGCTCTTGTGGAGCTGAGTACATTGGCCGCACCATGCACCGACTTGAAAAACGTGCTCGTGAACACTACCCAGCCTGGTTAGTAAAAGGAGACTAAAAGGGTGTATACAGTTCAGTGACAGAACATCTGGTCAATTCAGAGATTCAGCGCCTTTCGAAAAATCCTTAGAAATAATATACAAGATTAAATCAAGTCTATCAGAGGGAGTGAAATCAAGACATCTAGGCATAGCCGAGGCGTTAGCTATACAAAAGCTCAAACCCACGCCTTGTATTCAAAAGAAATACGTCCAACCCCTGTCCCTGACATGGCCATCATTAACAGGTAATTTTGTTTTTAGTAATGACCATCCCATCGCTTTTCCTGTTTATTCATGTTATTTTTAAGTTTTTCTTAATCCCTGTTTACACTACCATATATTCATACCCTAACTTCGTGATTATTTTGTTATTTTACTATTTCTACATATTTAATCTCTGAGTGCATATTTTTTTTTTGATTTACAGCTTGATTCCACACTGTATTTTTGGTACAAGTATGGAATTTTCAGCATGGATATCGGTGGTCCAAATTTTGCAGGCCGACCATAGATATCAGGTGTGCGCCGGCGTGGGCTCGAACCCCGGACCATGTGCATGGTCGGCGAGAGTCCTAACCACTGTGCCACCGACGCACAATAAACAATTATTCATCACATTAGTTTTTTTTATCCAAACATCATGTCTATTTTTGTTATTTCTACATTTCTGACCCGCAATTGCACAATATGTCAATCTTCTCCGTAATTATGATGCTACTTTGTTTGAGTTTTATCCGTCCCCCAAGTGTTTATTATGGCATTTAAATTCCTAATTGTAGTTTTTATTAATTTGACCCTTGACCGGAAATTATTCTGGAACTTTCCCATCCATTTGATATAAGTACACGAATGTACAGCCTAGATGATGCTGACTTCGTCGGAAAGAAAATTTTCTTCGCTGCAACTGTCTTCTTAATAACTCCTACGTCTTTGTCAATAAGACTTTATTTTCCTTTTTTTCTTTTTTTTTGAATTTTTCTACTGCATCTTAGTCAATACGATGCACTGTGAATTGTTGGTATTAGATGGTTGGAAGTAATCGGTCACAGGAAGCCTTGAACACAATCCAGGTTTCGTGCACCTAACATGGTGGCCCCATTGCAAACTCCACTGACTGATAGAATTCAGCCTACACCGAAGATAGGACTAGACACACACGCACACACACCCACACACAGATTACGCTAGTTACTGACTAGTGTCCAATCCAAATAAATATCTAATAACTTATCCAGAATTCGAGTTCTAATACATTCTGTCCTCATTAATAAATTTTTTTTCTAGCCTAAAATTATCCCATATCTCGCCTTCAATAGTTAATCTGTATAACGCCCTCTGTTCATGTGGAGTTTCTTTCTCACCCCTCACACTGTATTGAACAGCTTTTGCTAACTGATCTTCTGATTACTAAAATAATTTATATGTATATATAGTTATTTGCGTTAATAATGAGAATGGGCGTAACATTGTTTACTATCCATAAGTGAAGCTATTTTTAGTCTAACTGATTATATTATGAATGATTTAACAGAAAAGGTGATTGCAGATTCATAACAGAAAGTGATTAAAAATCATATCTTCTCTTGATATCAGTGAAACAGGGAGTATAAGACATTAACTAAATACCCTACATTTTATACAAGGAGAACCTTTAATCCCCGATACTATTAACTGATGTTTGCATGACTGGAAACCCTCACGTCGGATGAAACTCTCGCTAGATAGATTGAGGTGATGTAACTGATCTATGTAACGACGAAAACCGACTGGTTGTGATCAAAGTGCAGGAAAGAGATCTCTGCGTCCTATTTATATCTGTCTGAAAATTCCCTGAGACATGTACAGTCACAAAACACTCCAAAGATAGGAGAAAGAAGATTATTCGTCGACAAATATACATGGTTCTTTGAGGTTACATCGTAGACTGATATCATTTAGAGAACCATTGGAAAACCAGTACTAGAATAAAGGACATTTGTTTCGTCAGTCTAGTTTCGGACTCTGCAACAGTGTTCACCCACCGCCAAGGTTTGAACCCAGAAACTTCCAGTTGCAAGGCGAGCTTGTAGATCATTAAGCCACTGAGAACCAATCTGGTGGTCCACAAATTCCAGATTCTGCCAATTCACGATACACTACGACCACTAGCAAATGTCCTCAGCGATTATTTGCCCTCACACTCAACCTGCTGTATGCTACTGGGCCATTGGGTAGGCTTCCATTGGCATAATAGTCTGCGAGTTCATCTTGTAACCAGGAAGTCATGGTTTGAACCCTGAGATGGGTGCATACTGGTGAAGAGTCCCAAAGTAGACTGACAAAACAGCTGACTGTCCATTACTCCCTGCTGTTTTTCAAATGGTCCTCTAACTGATATCACCTCATCATGAGATCCCGTAACTAGTTGTAGTCTTATTTTCTCACCTACAGGAAGACACTGAGAGCTAACTACCTGGAACAGAGGTACAAAACTACAAGGATTTAACATTAACGAAGATGACGAAAGACTTTTAAACTATAAGCTCCATACACACACTGTTTGAACTTAGATTTGGTGCCTGATATACCTTCCCTTCTCAGCTGGTGTTCTGTTTCTATTATTTGCCTAGCTGTTGCTCCATCTATTACAAAATGGTGTTGGAGGTTGTTCAAGTTTAGCTTTAACATGAATCCTGGTCCACACAAGCCTCCTGTAATCAATATTCTCCATACACAAAGTCAGTGAACAATCCTGTTTGAAGGCTGCCGCTTCTAGATATCAGCAGTCATGGCGAACTCTCAAAGTATCTTACACAATACATCTTATGAATCATTCAAAACCCTTAATAACATCAACTCTAATTGTAGTCTATTCACCAGAATAACTAGTAGTTTAGCTGCATGTTGTGAAGTGACTTACTGGCAAACGAAATAATTGATTTTTAAGGTAACGGAAACTAAAAGGATGTAAAATGCAACATCAGTGAATAATCTACATTGAGGTACATTGCGATCATCTACAGGATAAACATAAAATCAGTGTGAATGAGTGAACTTCTAGCAAAAAGAAAATCCAATATGGCTGACTAACACCGATGCATTTTCCAGCAAACGATCGTGAGGGTGCCGGATGCTTCCAGTCTATTTAAATATCATGAATGTTTTAGGCTTAATTATTACACAATTGGTGGATGGTGGCTAGCAGTGAAATCCAGGATGCGCATTTCGTCCTATTTGGGACTCGTCAGCTGGATGTACCTGCATTTCTCAGTGAGTGATGATGTTCCCACCGATTAATTATTACAAGCTCCACATTTTTATCCTAAAAATAGATTATATGTCATAAAAGCAGTTGAATATTATTCAGAATTGTCATTCTCCATTAGGCAAGTGATGTAATCAAACAGACAAAGTTTCGTATACTCCCGAATAGGTAAGAGTTGCCTTACACAACACTGTTTGATTCAACAATGTTTGACAATGTTATCACTTTTTTTATTATTATTATTCTGGTTGTCAACATTACTAAGCACCCCTACCTGACAATCATAATATGCTTGTATATAGAATTTTGACAAGCAGAAACAAAGCATTAAATATGTGTACCATATATTACTGCGGGAGAAAAAAAATAACAGACAGCAATCAACAATTTGTCTATGACCACTATTCAACTTACCTGATGTAACATACAATACACCCGTTACCATAGCTGCAGGTACAGCGCGAAACAGAGTTGAAAACGCCCCGATCAATACAGAAGCTGCAACTGACAAGTAGACTACCACAACGCATGAAATAATATTGTTTTGCATTTCTGAAATTAAAAAATTAAAGTAAAATAAAATCTTTTTTTAAAATTGGTGAACAATCAGTCGACGGGAAAATTTGAAATGGAATTAAATAACTAATACGAACCGTTGCACAAGAGGTGGAGTGGTTCTCGTGGCTCAAGTGGTCTAGTGGATAACTCACTTTGGAGTTTGGAACTATGAGTACTGGGTTCGAGCTTCGATGGGGAAATCATCGCTCACTGACTGAGGAAGCCAGGTACATCCAGATGACGAGTCCCAAACATGATGAAATGTGCTTTATCCTGAATTAAATTCTAATAATAAGAGTTGCAAGATTCTGCGAGGAGGAGATTTTTCAGAAACTTTACACGTTTATCCCCCAACGTAAATTTGAATAAAGTGAGAACAATAGAAGTTTGTGGAAAATAATACCTCCGATTTTCTGAACATGTACCAAAAAGCCGATATCTCAAGGGAACAAACGTTTACAATGGTGCTATTACCAGACATCTCCTTGATGCTGGTTGAGTCATGAGGTGGAAATCACGAAATCCTTTAAGATTATCAATAGACTGAAGAGCTCAGTTATCCTCAGGTTTGCTGAAGCGATCGTTATCAAACACCTGAAAGCCGATTTATGTATGTGCTCAGAAAGAAGCAGTTGTCCCCACCCTGGTAACTTAATGTCTTTATTCTCTCTTTCATTTGATTGCATAATCTTTGGCGTTAATCTCACCCCCCCACCAGTGGTATGGTGAAATTCTGCTTGTCTCTTGTTTCTTTGATTTGAGTGTAATACTCAGTACATCGTTACCTAATTTAATAGTCACTCATCATCTTTCTCACCTCTCACCTTTATTACGTAACTCATTTACCATAGTATTCATACGTTGACTTTGTTTAAAAACTTGAACTCCCTGTGCAAAAATTATAAGGGGCGTAATTTTGTCAGCACTGTCCAATAATTCTGGAACCTCCTGGCAACTGATTTCTTGTATTGCACGAATATAGCTTCAGCGATACAAAGAAGATGAAACCGTATTGCCTTTGATAGGTTATTCTTGACTCTGTAGATTACTTTAAAGCAGGAGGCGTTTGTTGAGATGGAACGATCAGTGTTAACCAGGTGTTCAATTATCGCACTCCTTATTACACCACTATTGCATTTTCGCAACCATGCTGGCTGGATAGTGTTCTTGAATCCTCTTGGACAGGGTGCTCGTCGAACAACCGATGTACTTGGCTCCACAGCAGCAGGTGAACTAATATATACACAGAAAGTGGTCAGATGTGGGATATTTTCCCTAATGCTTCTGCAGATCAGTGGCCGACTGGAGAACACTATACTTAGCGTTGCTGCAAAGAATGTTCTTCTTAGAGATGGTGTGATCCTTCTCTTGAGAATATCGCTTGCTAAATCTCCCTTGAAATTCATGTTCATGTAGAGTTTCTTTTTAGGCGCAATTGAAGTTTCGTTTCTCCGAACTATTGGTTTGATATTTGATATAAGATTCATCGACAAAAATATCAAACCAATAGTTCGGAGAAACGAAACTTCAATTGCGCCTAAAAAGAAACTCTACATGAACTTGGATTTCAAGGGAGATTTAGCAAGCGATATTCTCAAGAGAAGGATCACACCAACTCTGAGAAGAACATTCTTTGCAGCAACGCTAAGTATAGTGTTCTCCAATCGGCCACTGATCTGCAGAAGCATCAAGGAAAATATCCCACAACTGACCACTTCTCTGTGTATATATTAGTTCACCTGCTGCTGTGGAGCCAAGTACATCGGTTGTTCGACGAGCACCCTGTCCAAAGGATTCAAGAACACTATCCAGCCAGCATGGTTGCGAAAATGCAATAGTGGTGTAATAAGGAGTGCGATAATTGAACACCTGGTTAACACTGATCGTTCCATCTCAACAAACGCCTCCTGCTTTAAAGTAATCTACAGAGTCAAGAATAACCTATCAAAGTCAATACAATTTCGTCTTCTTTGTATCACTGAAGCTCTGGCCATTCACATAGAAAAATCGGAGCTGTGTATACAAAATAAGATTACTCAACCACTTCTACTGTCATGGTAACAACTTTTGTTGTTTTTATTTGATTTGAGTTTTTTATTTTGATGACCTAATTTTGTTTCTTTGCCTCCTCTTTAATTGCTTAGAATTCTTGTATTCACTCAGAACTCTTACGTAACTTCGTATTATCTGCTTTGTTTCCATCTGCAACCTGAGTAAAACTCACTCATCAAACTATTCATATTATTATTATTACATAACTTCTTTTAACAACTGTTTGTGACAACTCATCATCTTGTTACTACCCTACTAATTTCATTAACACCTAATTTTCTTCACTTGTATTACCAATCTTCACCTGTTTAGTTAAAATAACCATAACCAATTGTAATTTTGTTTGACAAACTTAATGTACACAAGCATACAAAATAACCCATATTATATATTTGCGATTGTACAGCTAAAAAAATGAATTCGCCGCCGAAAAGAGACTCTTTGCTGAACACTACGTGTTTTGTTTTCATTAATGCCTGAATAGGGATTATGCAAATAAATTACACTCTCTTCTTATTGTTTTACCAAGACTCATAAAGGCACTAAACTGCTTTAAAACCACACAAAGTGTAAAGCTTTATCTCTAAAGCCCATTAATTTGTAAAACAAAGAAAAAAGGAATGGGAAATTTTTAATTTTTAAGCAAAAACTAAAAGAATCCATTGGAGTTTTCAATTATTGATTAATTTTTAAATAACTCTCAGCAGTATGGATTCACTTGTCATAATAATTCTCTAATACTAACTAATTATCTGGAGAGAAATTGACAGAGAGACGGCGAGAGGTAGAGATACTGTTTTTTTTTCCGTAATTCCTATCTATTCCCTTTTATTTCTCTGTAATCAAATTGAAATTTTAAGCAGACCGGAAATTTTCTGCTTCTGTATCAATGAGAGAGAGAGAGAGAGAAAAAAGGAATCTGGAAAAAAGTGAAAAGAGAAGCAAAGACCAGAGAGAGATAACGCTGTAGGGAATTACAAAGTCAATTGAGGCAGGTTACAGTTAGTTGATTAGTTAGTTAGTTAGCTAGTTAGTCAGGTTAGTCGGTCAGTTAGTTTGCTAGTTAGTTATTTAGTTTATTTTGTAGGGGAACAAAAAAATTTCAGAAAGTCAATCGAACCTCAACTGTTTCATCAGCTACTATCAATTTGTTTATCCATGCAGGTTGAAATACATGGTGGTCAGTATGATTTTTCAAGGGATAAGAGCTCAGCAGCTTCGTTTTGGTGAGCTTATCTACCTATAAGCTCTCTTCTAAAATCATCGTCAGTGAATCCATAATAATAATAATAGTGTCCTTTGATGTCACAGCATTATATACTTCAATTAGTCCAAAACTAGCAGCAGAAACTATGCAACAATTAATCTATAGTGACGAAAACATAAAAACGCAATGTTCAACTTGGATAGAACTCATAAAATTATGCCTAACAACATACTTCCAATTCAATGCTCAAATAATATATGAACAAATAAAACGAATACCAATGGGATCGCCCATACCAGGACTAATAACTGAAGCCGTTATGCAAAAGCTTTGCACTGCACTGCATTAACACACAACCGCACAATAGCATAGTCGGAGAGGTTTGAAATTCTAAAAAGTAATCTAGGTAGGTGGAGAGATATTGAGTGAGAATCTACACCCAACACATGCAACACAAATGACTAAATGACAATACCACAGATATGTATGGAAGATATTTTTACCACCAGTCAGTCAGTCAAATCAGAGGAGGGTAATAAATAATTTTTGAATGTATTCTGTTTCAATTCACATACATCACAACATTCTAACAATTTACTTATTTTGACTATGAAATCACTCGTCTTATTTCCCATCGGATTGCACTGGATTGATAACACTCATATAATTATTTCTGAATGTACATTATCTTATCCTATATCGGTTTTTTATTCAAATGTCTAATCATCAATTCCACTCATGTATATAAATGAAGTAAAAAGTTATGTGAGTGACTTGATATGATCTAATTATGAGCAGTAATAATTTGTGCTCGAAACGTGGTCATCATCAGTTAATATAACTGTATAACACTACACTATGTGACGCTTTATCAAAATAAAATCTTATCTATACTGAGCAAAAATTATTATTGCATTTAGTAAATTACCAAAAAGCGTGAACTAGAATAAAGACAAAATATTTGTTAGCAAATGAGTTGGTCACAGATAAGCACAAATACAAGTTTACACACGCATGCACACAAACACACTCACACACACACTCGTAAAGAAAAGCGAAGAGAGAGAGAGACAGTGGAGGGAGGGAAAGAGGGAGTGATATACTGAATTGTGGACATCTCAATAATGCGTTATACATAAAATATATTTCCTCATCTATTATCTTGAAGAAAGCTCTATGACTAAATAATAATAATAATAAGTTGCTTTATTCCAAAACAGTACTTGTGATATAGAATGGAATTCTCAGCAATTTTACTACAGTATTGCATCCAGTTAGTACATAATCAATAAATAAAATTCTACATAGATTAAGGGAATCTCAGTTCATTATGACAAAAACACATTGGCGTGTCGGTAGCAAAGCCAAAAATTGAACAGAGTGTTTGAAGGTGTTAGAAAAGTAGGCTCTAGCATATTTACTGGCTTAAGCAGAAGAAAGAAACAAAGCAGCACATAACAGAGAGGAAAAAAGAGAGAGTGAAAAGAAAAAGAAAGAAAGAAAACGTCGTACCTATAAAACATACGAATTGGAAAGACGAGATCCAGTTGTTCTACTGACTATTTAATAAGTTATAGGTATCACGCCTAATGCTCTCTTCATCTCACATAACACGAGCTAAGTAGGGTATGGTTGAGTTTTTGTACTTGTTAGTGCGAGCATATAGTTTCCTATATAGGCTTCTGGTTCTGTCTGCCTGATGAGATACAAGGGGAGAGTTGTGGATGAAGAGGGT